TATAAAACTCAGGTTATCCAAATGGGGACCTCAAAAGATGTCCCCAAACGTAGGGAAATTTCAGGTTGTACTACACTTTGGGGACAATTTGGTCCTCAAATGTGATCTATGCAAACCCACACAGACAAACACACACACACACACACAGACACACAAACACAGACAAGGAAAGCAGCGAGTACACCAAGAGCCTGTACGAGTGTTCAAAGGCCAGAGGCATCCTGCTTTCACCTGTCACAGTGAAAATAGATCAGAAATTTAAAATGCAGTGGCTAGAAAGAATGGATTTCACTGCATTTGAATGCTCCAGAACCCTATAATAATGAGAACCACAAAACGGCTTAAACAGTGCAAAGAGCTGAGCCTGTATTAAAAACAAAATACATGCAATTTCACAAGCATTTCCTAAGGATGAACCGAGACTAGCTGTACACTTTGACAAGTTCCATTACACAGAGGGTTTTCTCCTGGTTTACAGTTGCAGAGCGTGACTAACCATAAAAAAAACGGCAGTGATCTGAAAAAAACTGCACTTTTAATTCGAAACACCTGTCATGCCGAGTTGGCACCATGCATCTGCACTGATAAATTATGCAGAAGTGCATTCCTGCGTTTCCAGACAGAGTCAGAGCTCAGCTTGTCCCTGATCTTCTCGCGGATTCCTGCGGAGATACCTGTGAGGAAGCGGCAGTGCGGGGCGAGAGGGAAAGACGTAAATACAGGCGGGAAAGAGCACATTAAACGTAGCCGGCAGGGGGATTTCAGCCGGCTGCGGTGTTACGTTAGAGGAAATCGCTGGCGACGTTCATGGCTTAGCGAAAAAGTAACAAGCAAAGCCGTGAGATACATGAACGTTTTAAATAAAATCAGAGAAAAAAAAATAATAAACTTCTTTGAAATTAGTATTTGCAAACTGGCAGTGATCCATACTGTTTTAAGCCCAGCTCAACAGCTGTACCATGCAAGTATAAAATTAACACCGCAATGTTTACGTTACGTTGCATGCAGGTTACGGACTCACAACCAGAAGGCTGATGGTTCTAATCTCAAGATCCGAGTTTCCTACCTAAGCCTTCCAGTAGCCCATAAACCTACCCACTTTATGTGTATAACCATGCATCAGCTCTATGCAGAAGTACCTACCTAAGGAGAACGTGCTGCCCTCACACAGAGTAGGGTTGGGATTCGAACCCAACACCATACAAGGCAAAAGTACTGAGCCACCATGCCACCAACTTTAGGGTATAACCAAGCTCAATTTTATTAATATATATGTAATACAGAGGCCTATTTAAACACACATATACACATATCAGCAAAGGCTTGAAGGCTTCTGGCAGATGGTCCTCTGCCAGATCTGTGATGCTCATTAAAGCAGAAAAACACAAGCGAACCTTTAACATATCCACTCTCCACATATCCCGAGTAAAAGCTTCCAAACGCCTACATCTCGTTGACAAATATTAAAACTCATTTCCAATACATCCACTGTCGGACAGACATCTCTCAAATAAAATCTACCTCTACAGACAGAATACTTCATGTGTACTTCACAAAAATCCAGAAATAAAACCCAACATACAAAAAAGTGTCAAACTTTATTACGGTCTCTTTTAAGTTCTATATTTACACCACAGGGCAAATACATTTTTAAACAGCTTTCAGAAAAGAGAATACAATATCGCTTAGCTTCATTTACCCCAGTTATTATTTTAAAGTAAATCTAAATTTTTTAAACACTATTTGCTCATAAATTCAAATTGTATTTTAGTTAAAGTTACAAGTTACAAGGTATTGGATCTTTAGCTATCTTTAAAGAAATACCTTTATGCTTATCGTTACAAGCTTTTTGAATATTATTATTATTAATATCATTATTATTAACAGACAAACAGCCTTGACAGTCATCAGAGGTTTGCTATCTACCTTCCGTCGTGCGCCACGGATCGATCTGACGCGCCTGGCAGCACGAAACGACGGCGATTTTGGCAGCGTGATGAAAGCGTCTGAAAACCACCCGAGCCCCGGAAAATCCCCGACCGATAACACGGTCAAAAGGGCGGGAGGCCGGCTGTCCGTCCCGGACCTGGGATGCTGCAGCCCAGTTATGCGCAAACAAAACTGCTTTCGGAGCGGCCAGTGGCCGCTTCCATCCCCATCTGACATAAGGATCATTCAGCTGTCGTGATGGTCGAGCTGCCCGTATAACGTCTGTCCACAACACAGTGCGTCGCCGCAGAACCAATGCGTCGCCGCAGAACCACGCTAACTCAATGCGTCACCGCAGAACCACGCTAACTCAATGCGTCGCCGCAGAACCACCCTAACTCAATACGTCGCCGCAGAACCACGCTAACTCAATGCGTCACCGCAGAACCACGCTAACTCAATGCGTCGCCGCAGAACCACGCTAACTCAATGCGTCGCCGCAGAACCACGCTAACTCAATGCGTCGCCGCAGAACCACACTAACTCAATACGTCGCCGCAGAACCACGCTTGCCCTAGTTTTCAGTGAGGCCACAGCTGGTTTGGAAGTCCAGGAAGTCGATGATGATCTGAGATGTCAAAGAGTCTATAGTGGGGAGCTCTGGCCATTTGAAGTGTAGGTCATGGACAACCACCAAAAAGCGCTGATGGTGGAGAACCCCATCTGATAGCCCATCAGCCTGATAGCCCAACTCGCCATAGCTCCTCAATGTCCCTGTCTATCCCCGGCCACCACACCAGGTCTCACCAGCACTGTTTCAGCTTCAGAATACCCAGGCAGCCCTCATGAGCCATAGTCAAAGCACAGGCACACAGAGCGCTGGGGACCACTGTGCAAAGCCCACGCGCCACACAGGTGTCGTTCCAGCAAGACGGCTCCTGTTCGACTCAGAAAAATGCGGCCAGTTCCTCAGGCACCTCATGAGGCCAGCCATTCCGGATGTAAGTGCAGAGCTGAGAGAGAGGATAGAATCCTATTCAGGAGCTTCTTTAAGCTCCTGCAGAGACACAGTGGCCTGGAGGGCTGTATGTAACATCTGAATAATATCCTGTTCCGCACACAGAGTGCCCGTGTGTGGGACTAGCACAGAGACAAAGTCAGAGAGCATGTCGACCTCATCACTGCTCCTGCCTGGGGTCAACTGCAGGTTAGGGTTGTGCTAGCGGTGTAGCCTCAGTGGTGTGTGACCTGTGCAGGGCGGCGCCGCCAGGGCCTGGTGATCCATCCTGGGGGTGAAGGAGCGGCTATAGTGATACAGGTGCAGGTTAGCGCCTCGCGCTCACCCACTGCGTACCACTGCTCGGGCTGGTTAAGAGCACTGGAGGCAACAGCAAAGGGCTCCTCTGCGCGAGTCTGTGACGGCGTCGCAGCTAATGCTGTGACCGGCACGTCACAGATCACGAAAGAGGGACTGGAGATGTCAAAGTGAGCTAACGCTGGGGGATTTGAGGGTACGCACGGCATCAGAGCATGCCCGAGACCACACACAGGGCTCGTCCAATCACAGCAGCCGGTGCAGTAGGACTGTAGCAGGGCAGTGCTGAGGAAGGAACTATGGGTAACAGGCTGTCATGCCCAGGAAGGAGGTGAGCTGAGCGGCTTAGCTGAGCACAGGGACGGCCTGAGCGGCGCCCATGTCGGATTTGGGTGAAGTCAAGCGGCCTGCTGACAGGCAGAAGCCCACATATTCTGCGGTTGGCACAGAGAAGACGCATCTTCAGCGTCGGGCATTGGCCTGTACTTGGCTAAGGCTGCGAAAACACTGTTGAGTCGCCCATCGTGGCTGTCAGTGGTGGGCCCGTGTACAACAAGATCTTCGGGATATACGGCAGCGCCCAGTATGCCAGTCAGCGCAGAGACCTTGACCTTTTGGGAGCAGTTGGGGGCGGAGCTAAGGCTAAATGGCATGTAGGTGTAGCGAAACATTCCTGTTTGTAATATGAATGCTGTGAGGTTTCCGCTGCAGGTGGAGAGGCTGTAAATATCCCCGTTTGAGGCTGGGTTTGGAGAACACGGCAGAGCCCTGGAACTCAGCTCTGAGCTCTTCTGAGGGGACAGCAGACACTTATCTGGGACCACCAGCCTTATTCACTGCATGGATATCCCAGATACGTCTGGCCACCACCGGGTTTGAGACCCAGGGCAAAGCGTCCACTGAGTCAGTGATGCCAACGTCCAGCAACTGCTGTAGCTCGGCTGAGACCCCACCACCGAGGGGCAGCGGGGCTCGATGTAGCGGCTTAATGACGGGTATAACAGGAGGGTAGAGGGGAGGTTGATGGACAAAATCAGCGAGGCAGCCTAGGCCTTTAAATAGTGATGGCCATTTTTGTGCCAAGGTGTGGCAACAGTGAGAATTGCCAACCCCCCCCCCCCCCCCCGTGTCCAGGAGACGGAACCCCAGAGCAGAGAATAGGGCCAGACCCATCAGGTTTAATCCGCAGTGAGAACATGAAAGCTGAACCTGGGCACCATGGGGCGGAGGGGCGGAGGGGCGGAGGGGTGGAGGGGTGGCCTTCCAACCCGGCTGGAGAAGAGTGACAGACAGTGGCAAAATGATTCTGCTTACTACAGCTACGGCACGTCTGACCATGGGCTGAACAGTGAACAGCTGTGGAGGCATGAGACTGAGACGCAGAGTTACCGCCGGGCTCTTGTGTGCAGAGCCCAGGATGCTGCCGTTGCCCCAGATGCATAACGGCGGAAGTGTCGGGTTTAAGCGTGTCGCTCTGGCCGGGAGGCATCCTTGAGTGGAGAGAGAGCAATCGGAGGGGGTTGCTGGGCTGGATGTGGGCACTTGCTGCTTAGTTAGTGCAGGTACACGGCTGTACTCTCCACATGCAAACCAATGGTAGGTGCCCTAGACAGCAATAAATCAACTGGTTCGAGTAGGAGAGTCTTGTGCACTTTCATGTTGTTGATATGTTCAATTAGCTGGTCACGGATCATCTCGTCCTGCAGCACAGCGAACTTGCATGAGTTCGCCTGCCCCCATAAATTAGCCACATATTACTGCACAGACTCCCCAGGCAGCTGTCGGTATTAAAAGTGACTGAAGAGCATCTCGTGGTGCAGCAACAGTGTCACAGGTGATACTGGCACTGTTTCCTAGCGTCCCGAGCCGACGCTGACCCTCTGCTCCCAAGCGATGCTGCAGCAGTGCCTTCTTCAGAGCCGCACTCACATAAGTCAACCCCAGTGCTATGAGGTAAGTTTCAAAGGTTCACCAGGCAACGACAGGAAGGGGTAGGTGGCGGAAGCGATATATCAGCCATCCTCATCGCCAGATGTTATATTTGAAATCACATAATACTGCCTTTTCTTTGTGTTCCTGTTTCACACGTTCACACTCCACAGACACAACCAATCCAATATCCATCACTTACAACATAATGATTACAGCACGATCACTAACTTAATGCATCACCACAGAATAGCAGTAAATCAATGCATCACCACAGAGCATCACTAACTCAGTGCTTCACTACAGAACAACGCTAAGTCAATGCATCACCACAGAGCATCACTGACTTAGCGCTGTTCTGTAGTGAAGCACTAAGTCAATGCATCGCCACAGAACCACCAACTCAATGCATCATTGAGAACCCAATGTGCAGACATAACAATTAGCATGAATGTTGGAAGATCCCCGAATTAACCTAGAGAGAACCAACAGAAGGATGAAACCAGTCTCTGGTGGTAGTTCCAGTCAGTGTCAGCTTTAATGCTATTGGAGGCCATAATTTGGGGGGGGTCACCAAATAAGCCACAGTGCCTCCCAGTCAAAGAGGACCCTGCTGCAGACACCATGGAGGCAGTGGGAGCAGAGAAAAAGCCCCCAAAAAGTAATTACCTTTAATCGGAGCTGATTTTAAATTGTTTTAGTTCCTTTCACAGCTGATTAATATTGTACTACAAGTTCAGCTAAGGGACACACAATAAAAACCAGAATTCTTCATATTAAAGCAATTAAGAAGCTGCAATGGAACAATGTTCAGATTCACTGTGTGCTCTAAACCTTAACTGCATGTCAGCATGGAGTGTCATCAATTTTTAGAGGAACTGAGCTTTAGAGCTTTAGAGACGGCCCGTATACATTCACACGTTACCGCTGAAGCTGAGATTGAGAGAACAAGCCTGTCGTTAATCCACGGTTCTTTCACACTACAATCAAATCCCTAAGGGTATTTATGAGATATGTTCATCCAGCCATTTTCCCATCGGGGCCAAGAATTACAGCCAGGAACCAACGGGCTGTTGGGAGATGATGTGGCAGGGAAACCAGGAGCAATCGGATGGGGTTGGAGCAGGACAATCCTGCGCCACTCCCATGGGCGAGAGGGGGCCTGTTTGTTTCAGGACAAACACCTTTATTAAAATAAAATAAAAGATGGTGTCCTTGGTGGGTGGGGGGGATCTCACATGGCCCACGAATGCCCCTCATTTGGTGGGGGGGGGGGCTCACCCACAAATGCCCCTCATTCGGGGGGGGGGCTCACAGGGCCCATGAATGCCCCTCATTTGGGGGGGGGCTCACATGACCCATGAATGCCCCTCATTTGGGGGGGGGCTCACATGGCCCATGAATGCCCCTCATTTGGGGGGGGGCTCACATGGCCCATGAATGCCCCTCAATGAAGCCAATTCTGGTAACCACCAGACAAGGAGACGGGGTGTTAAGTTAGCCAGCAAGCAGGTGCCAGGAGATCACATGGTTAGGTAGGCAGCGTGGCACTCAGGGCAGTACTTGGTTCTATGGTGTAATGGTTAGCACTCTGGACTTTGAATCCAGTGATCTGAGTTTGAATCTCAGTAGAACCTGTATTGTAAATATTCTCTTTAGTTGTAAATTACAGGTATGCCCCTGGCTGGATTCATGGGCCTTGTAGTGCTGGGCATTCAGCACACGGTGCCTGTGATCAGATGGTCATTGATTCAAGTCCCACGATCAGTACAGCCATTCCCCAGCAGGTCCCACGATCAGTACGCCCATTACCCAGTGGGTCCCTCTGCCCTAAATATGGTATAAGTGCCACCCAGCTGGCTGACCCGCCGTGTATGTACTGTATATACCACCAGCCACTCACTTCTGTCGAGTCTGGGAAAGTGAATGAGGTCCTTAATGTTCACTCTATACCTTTCATTTGACGAGGTGGAGAGACTCTCTGTTGAAAGAATGTCGTCCTGCCTGACTGCAGACATACAAGCTCCGACTGCCTCGCTCTCCATCTGCTATACCTCACATTATGACATTCATTCACTGAACAGCCATGCAGTAATCCACAAACCTTTTTTTACAATGTAACCGATTGGTTTAATAAAACAGTAACTCACCCGGGGCAATCTGGTAACTCCAATCAGCCTCAGAATGTTTTTGGAAGGTGGCGGTAAACCAGAGTACCCGGAGGAAACAACTCACACATATGAGCAAAAAATTAAGCACAGGACCAAATCAACCCCCAACCCCCACCCCTCTAAACACACACACACACACACCTCAAAATGGCTATTGCAACCATATCAGAATAACTGCTAAAAATTTGTTAACTCAAAAAAAGGTTTTTAAAATAAATATATTATGCAAATGTACAATAAAAAATACCAAAATGCGAAAATATGCAATAATAAATCATTTGAGGGGAAAAGAAACACGTAGGAGATTTCGCATAAAATCACGACACTGGCAATAAGACTCGTCGCCAGCGAAGTTTGTGTTGAAGGAGGCAGCTTAGGAAGGCTGCCTGTCGCCGCGTTTAGCCACGTGCAAACACTGTACCAAACATAAAGGTTTGATATTCTCGCTTATAATGGACAAATGAGACGATATGGGGGGGGCACTCACGGCTTTGCTGTTTGCTGTCTGCGGCGGCAGCAGGACGTCACAAGCCTCGCGCCAACCCGGACGGTCCGGTAGAGCTTCATACTTTCCCGTCATGTCCTCCGTGAACTTTAAAGATTATACCTACGGGAATGATAATAGACTGACTAGGAAGGGAACGACACACGGTTGGAACGCACCCTTTATTTACCATGAGGATCCCAACGCGAAAAAGTTCGGAGATCAGCAACTGGTACGGACAGCTCGGTACTCCCACAGTATGGACAGGGACGTGACCCTACCCTCCATAGCCAAATCTACGCCCTTGTAGTGTACTCCCATCCTAACACGCATATCCCAGTCTCATTTTCACGTCTAAAATTCAGTGCGATTATCCTGTTCAGACATACGTCAAATTCGACTTATGACCTGTCTGAATCGCCTCGGAACCAGGTCGCATGTCGGGGGCAGTTTGTTCATTATTAAGGCTCCCCAACTAACACAAAATACAGATAAAAGTCTGCGTAATAAACAGACAGCTTGTTATTCAGGCATTATTTAAAATCGGGGGCAGACACCCCACATACACCCGCGCCCGTTAATTACCGCACTGCACCTCCGCCGCTCAGAACTCAGTGAAAGAGGCGATCCAGTGACGCACTTCATCGGTTTGTCAAGCAACACCGCCACCTGCTGCTTGACTAAGGTACTTCATCAAGGGCTCTGATCGTATGAATTTAGAAGAGTTTGATAGAAAGACCCTTTTGTGTGCCATCTGTCTGCTGTTGACAGAGATAATCAGGGAAAGCTGTTTACAACAATTCAATTTCAAAAACTGGATTAGGATATTTAGGACTACTATTCTCCCAAAATGATCATAATCTTCCTTGCTTTGTGGTAGCACTGTGGCTTAGTAGGTAGCACTGTGCTCACGTGACGCTATGGTTGTGGGTTTGGATCCCCTCCCGTGTGTGTCCAGTTTGTGCATTTTCCCCATGTCATGTGGGTTTGGATCCCCTCCCGTGTGTGCAAAGTTTGTGCATTTTCCCCATGTCATGTGGGTTTAGATCCCCTCCAGTGTGTGCGCAGTTTGTGCGTTTTCCCCATGTCATGTGGGTTTGGATCCCCTCTAGTGTGTGCGCAGTTTGTGCGTTTTCCCCATGTCATGTGGGTTTGAATTTACCCTCTTCATTATACCACTGGATTTTTTTTTTACTGGGCCAATTCATATTTTCAATTACATCCGTAGACTGCATTTATTTGCATACAGCTTCTGCTAGTGAGATGTCTACGTATGTAGACCCATGAACATCGCACGTTGAACCCAATGTATTTCAAAGGGTAAAGTTCACACTGGAATATCGTTTCAGGTTACACACCTCTCAAACACGGAGTCGACGAACTGTGGAATAATATAGCTACGGATTCACTGAAAACGCTGAACACGATTTTGTCGTCTTTAGAGAGGAGAGTCAGGCGCAGTCTGACACTAAACCGGACAGACTCGGTTGTCTGTGCGAAACATTAAAACACGTTACGTAGCCTACTATGGTAGTTTGCACCTTATTGCTAAATAAATAGCAAATGTAATGTCACTTTCGCTCAAACTGCGCCGTCTGTCACCAACCAGGACGTCCTACAACTCACTCTACATCCTTAAACTTTGTACGAAGAAGCGAGGCTTCGACCCACACACCAACTTTAACCCTAAAATATAATCCTAACCGGAGCTGTCTTTCCAGGAAGTCCTGTTTAAACTGCATTTTGAGCAGCTCGAACTCCTGAATTACTTTCCCGCAGATTGCCTTCCTTACCTTGTCGACCGCACGTCCTTGAGGTCTTCAGCGTATCACCAAGCATGATAAACACACAGAGTCGCGGTGCGTTAATGAGTTTAACTTCCGATTTAACTAAAAAGCTCTTAATGTCCCAACGCCATTACGGAGACAGCGATATTATGCAAGAGCCACGCTGCCTTTCAACGTGATCGGCGACACAGTTATATTGAAAACAGGTCGTAAAACATGCGTTATAAAGTCTCTCCGATGAATAAATTCACTTTGAGAACACACTGATTTCTGAATGTAATGAGCAAAATCATTTTCAATTAATGCTTCCCAAAAGCGCTTCATGTAGACATTAAACGTTTTATTTCGATTCAAAAAGCGACAACTTAACTTTATACTGAATTACAGATATTGGTCGCGAAATGAAAAAAAAAATGCGATGATCTACGTATAATTTCATATACGAAAGAAGACATTTAATCACATCTAAAATGTCTTACATTAGAAATAACAATCTTGCATGTCCGATGGCAACGGCGGTCTGCTGGTCCTATTACTTTATATTAACTTTTTCATTTATAAATAGTTAAAATAAATGTATAGACACAGGTACGCATACAACAAACACTTCACCACACCCCGGATTTTACAGGCAAACTGCCAGCTAACTGGCGTCTTCCAGATGTCCCTGATAAGAGAAAAAAATATCCTCTAGGGAGGTTCAAAGATTGTTTCGTCACTCATATAATTAAACCGAATGACAACCCGATACGTACCGTACTCATACGGTAATCACTGTAACCAAATAATCAATACTAATGTCCTTTACGAAAAAGCATAACGATTAAAAGTACTTAAAAGAAAAGCCGATGCGTGCTATAACAGGAAGGGGGCGCGCCAGCTCTTTGTTCTTGCATCCTGCAGTCCTGGCTCGCCTGGGCTCGGTTTGGGTGGGTCATTGCTCTGCTTATATGGGTCTGTAAGCGAGAGACCAGTTACATTAAGGATTCAAGAACATAAGAACATAAGAAATTTACAAACGAGAGGAGGCCATTCGGCCCATCAAGCTCGTTTGGGGAGAACTTAACTAATAGCTCAGACTTGTTAAAATCTTATCTAGCTCTGATTTAAAGGAACCCATGGTTTTAGCTTCCACTACACTAGCAGGAAGACTATTCCATACTCTAAGTACACGCTGTGTAAAGAAGTG